GTTTTTTTTGTTTTATACAGTTTCAGTTTTCCAAGTTTAATCTCCTTCTGAAAATACTGAATACTATAAGACATTTTTAGAAGTGGGAGAGAAAAAATATCCACATAACTTTTATTACGGTATATTGTTATAATCGTTTTTATTGCTAGCTATTGTTTTGCTCTTACTGTGTCTAACATATGAAATAAACTGTATCATAGGTATGCATGTATAAGAGAAAACATAGTGTATATTTTATTTTATTTTTTTTCTGGGACTGACATTTCAGGCATTGCTAAGTCTCTTAGAACATATTCCCTTATGTATAAATGGGGGTGGGGAGGCTACTGTATTTCAATCTTCCATTGAATTGTGAGTATTTAAAACATGGGCTCTGACAGCTGGAAACTTCAAACCATAAACTCAAACTCTGTGAGCTAAAAGCATTTCTGAATACTTCTATCTGATCTTCAGGTTACTCTACATAAAGAACAGAAGGGAAAAACAATAGGTCTAAGACATGCTTATCAGTTATCTGTTATCTTCATCTTCTCATATACTTTTCTACCCAATTACTTTTATGTATGTTTGTTTGGCCAGAAGAACACATGCCTACTCCTAAGTGCAAATAAACCTGAGAAACCTCACATTTTAAGCTGGCATCATGACCATTCAGAAAAAAACATGTTTTTTTCCCCTTTTAGAAGGGAAGGTGAGAATAGATATTCATATTTAGGCAATTATACAGAAATAAATTCTACCCCACAAATTATTTTCAGAAGGACAAAGTATATATACACATGCACATACACAATTAAATTGAATATAATGTATTGCAAGGAGTATAGTTAAAAATTTTGCAAAAACCTTTCTTCAGTTCTCTTAGATTGAACCAAAAAAGATCTTAAACTATTTGATGAATTAAACAGTTGCTTAGGCATTTTTATAGAACATATATGTTATGTTTACATTTAAAACATTTTTCCAACCAAAAATCTTGGTACTGAGACCAGAAGACTTTTGTGTAATTTTATATGTTTGTTAATTTAAACCATGATTTCTTTCACTTTACTATACTGGATACAAACAAGAAAATATAAGAATTCCGATTTCAAATACAGTGTTTGAAAGTTTCACATTTTCTTTAAAAGATTTATTTATTTATGTATACAAGAGCTGGGGTGTAGGTGAAAGGTGTGAGGGGTGAAAGAATTCACCAGAGACAGAGAGAGACAGAGTGGGGAGCAAAACAGACATATGTACTGAAATACACTGCAGAGGGGAGCAGCAGGAGAGACAGGAGAGGTCTGTGCCATGCCGGGTTACCTCCCTGGTGGGCCGGGGAATCAAACTTCAGTGGCTGGCAATAGCTTGATAGTGCTGTCTTTAACCTCTGTCTTACCAAGGAGGCCTCTGAAAGTTTCACATTAGTGCAGTATGCTGTAGGATGGCAATGCGGATAGCATGCTTACAAACTCTTGCAATATTAAAAGAAAAGAAATTTGTATTTTCTTGTGATGATATAACATTAATGGGTTTACATATATGAAGCAATACATTTGATCACAATGTATAATCCTTGTAATATATTGTTGAATTAAATTTGCTAGTATTTTGTTGAAGATTTCCATATCAACATTCATTAGAGGCATTGATCTGTAGTTTTCTTGAGCTATCATCTTGTTTTGGTTTTAGCACAAGAATCACAAAATGTATTAGGGAACATTCCCACTTTTCAGATTTTTAGAAATTGTTCAAGCCAATTGAGATTTAACTCTGGGTAATATTCTAGTCTACAAAATTAGGTTTTAAACATTAATTGAATTCATTTTAGAATATTTGTAAACTCAAAGGTTTTTACTTCAGATTGAACCCTGACACCTTGACTTTTTGCCAAATGAATTGCAGCCACACCTAATGGTCAATCCCTCAACCTCTGATTTTGCCACAGTGTTTTGTCTCCAGTGGTTTGTCTCCTACTCCTAGTGCAGCCTTTTCCATTTATCCCAGCATCCAATAAAATATAATTTTCTAGATTTACTGTAACATTTCAACCTTTATGCCTTATCCTCATACCTACATTGTATATCTTCTGTGCAGGGACTAGTTTTCTTTAAGAGACTATGAAATTACAGAATTGTTACTTACTAAGGATTTTTGATTCAAGATCAATATAAAGACATTACCTTTGGCATTTATAATCTATTCATATATGTTGTAATAAATATTATCTATACTCTTTGTTTAAAAAGAAAGTTAAGTTTTCTTCTATTTACTTGGTGACATTTGCTCTATATTGTCTCTTGATGAAATTGTGTAGAATAATTTCATGAGATATTTATATGTCAACTTGCACTCCTTTTAAATATTTTATTTGTCATGCTGTGTTTTTTATATTGGCTGAATTTTATCCCCTGAGATGAGAATAGACTATTCGACCCTGGCCTGTGCTTATAAAACTTCTAGAGCTTGAAAAGATCTTGGAAATCAAGTGTTCCAGCACTTTCATTTTACAAATGAGGAATCTGAAACCAGTAAGATTTCATTTTCAGTTCAAGAAACATTTGTTGAACATCTGTCATATGCTTAGCTCCAGGCTAAATCCTGGGGACATGCAGGAAAATTAGAAATAATCATATAAGGATTAAAGTGATACTGTACATAATGAATGGAACATAGTGCCCGGGATGACATGGTCATTAACAAAATAATATTTTTTTTGAGGGAGGGGGGATGCAAATATGGGGAATATCCAAACAAGAGATTTGTTTTATTTAATTTCATTGTTAAGGTTGCAGTGCAATGTTACTTCAGTAAAAAATAAATGAGTCCATAAGAATCTCCTTTGGAATGGGTGAGATCTTTCAGGCACTGGGTGGATTTACTGTCCTGTAGCATAAGCCACAAATACTGTGACTCCAATTTTCCTATTTTGGAGTTGCAAGTGAGGATTCCTTAAGGATTTCACTGTGATAGTAATATGACAGACTAATACTCTCACTGATGTATGATCTTTGAGCAAGTGACCAAAAAAGAAATTTAATTGAGTGTCTTGTGTTTTTATCTCCAGTTACAACTCTTACTAAACCAACACTAAGGATTACATGTTCTTATTTTTAGATATAAATAATATTGTGCTATAAAGTAGGGAGAAAAATTGATTTAGGAGGAGAAGTTTTCTCAACTCCAGAATACAGAGTGTAGAAAACAGACTATATTAAGAAAATATATGTACCACAGAAATGAGTATAGAAAAATGAATACTACATTAGTCACTTCCAACATCCTCTAGTCAAAGCATACTCAGATAAGAACAGAGGTCATCCATCGTCCTGTTTGACTATTTTCTTTGAATTACTTGCATTCATCATTGCAGGGGTAATTACAAACTTTGCCTTGTAGAAAGAAGAGTACTGAACTTTTTTAATTCAGATGGATGTTATGTAGTCAATTGTTAAAGAAATTCTATTGGCCTGATATTTTTCTCTATCCCCACATTCTTTGTTGAAGTTCACCTTTCTCTTTAGTGGATCACTTGATGCAATCACTTATTTGACTGCACCTTTCATACCTCTCACTACTCTCCCTGTATTCCTTTTTTGTTCTTCACATTACTACCATGCATTGTCCTTTACATTCTTTCCAAAACATATCCCTTCACTTCTGGTAAACATCTATAAGCTTTTTGAAATACAAAGGTAAAAATCCAATTTTTTTCAGCAATCATAAAATAAGCTACTTGCCCCATGAAATCTTAAAAGCTCAAAATCTTAAATTTCTTAAATCCTTCTATACAGCTAGAAAATTCTGCTGCTATAAAAATTTATTTACATTTTGCAGAAGAAAAGCAAAAAGTTCATTAATAACATGTGTACCTTCTATATGCATGAAAGAAACACAATTAAGTTGAATTATCTCAACAAGGTGGCTTCAGTAACCACATCAAATAACCTGAGTGGAGAGGTAGGGAGGGAGGTCTGCTATGGGAGGTTACCAGGAAAGGGACAGCAACAAAGTTATAATATAATTTAAATAACTGTCTAGATCAACTTGGGTTATGATTACACAATACTGTACATTAGATGACTTAAACAGTCAACATGGAGCTAGAAGACTATGATAAATATGTCAGCTTGGTTGAGTTCTGGGGAGCACTCTTTTCCTGGCTTATAGACACCTACTTGCTATATCCTCATATGGAAGACACAGAGCAAGAACAAGCTTGTTGATATTTGTTTTTATGAGGGCACTAATCTCATGATGTAGGTCACATCCTCATGACTTCATCTAAACCCACTCCAAAGTCTCATGTTTTAAACACTCTCTTATTGGGGGTTAGGGCTTTAACATATGACTTAAGTATTAATTTTCAACTACTTCTCTAATCAGAGAGTGAACCCAGTCAGTATCCATGCAACAATCCCATATATCAGTCCCACAAAAAAAAAAAAAAAAAAGTGTGTTGTAATTTGGAATATTCTTTTTTTTTTATACAAGAGCTTGGGTACAGGCCAGAGGTGCAGGAGGGTGAGGGGATTCACCAGAGACAGAGTGGGGAGCAAAATAGGTAGATGACCAAAATACACTGCTGAGGGGAGCGTGGGCGCGACAGGAGAGGTCTGCAGTGCCATGTGAGATTCTTGCCAGACAGCAGGGATTGAACTGGCACTGCAGAGGCTGCAGACAGCTTCACCAAGCTGCACTCAACCCGCTGCGCCACCTGGGAGGCCCTGGAATATTCTTATTCCTTACCAATTAATTTTACCATTTAGATTTTATACCAATTCAAAAATAGAGGATGTAGTTAGTAAGTTGGAAAATAATGACTAATTAGAGATAAAGCTAGATTGTAAAAATGACTTTGGAGCTGGATTGGACTTTCTACATTTTTATCCTTCCTGAATAGTACTAAACCATATATTTAGTGGCCACATAGAAATGCTGGATAATGGTGACATTCCACACAAGGGCAGGCTAACTTAGAGAGATTACATCATAGAAGCAGAATGGAGAAGATCAAATGTGACCTGTGGATAGGCTGGTTCTGACAGAGAATCCAGGTAGGCTTAGATATGTCTATTGAGAAACTTCACATTTTTCAGAAGAAAAAAAAATAATTTTTCCTCTCATGTAACAGAACTAATGAGAAGGAGAGGTGAGGGCAGACACTTACCCAATATTATTACTTTCCTAATTAATGATGTGAGGCAGAAGTATGAAAGTGTAGAGAAGTATTTTTGTCTTTGATTTGCTCATTTGTTTTCCTTCCAGGATGTACACACAAATCTCTTAGACAGATAATGAAATGTTGAAGGACTACATAGCTCTGATAACATTTTGTTAAGTTAGAATAATTAATCTTTCATAGGAATCAAGGAATGGGATGCCAAAATTTACAGGTTATATGCTAAGCAAATACATACAACAAGAACAAACGAATGAATGGTGGAAGCAGAAAATCACAGCTGAATTAAAATTTTTGTTTAGTGACGTAATTTTCTTTTTTTAACAAAGTATACTGGTAAACCATTGAGAATAAAAAGTGAGACTCTAATATCATGGTTTGGGATAAAACAAAAGAAGAATTTTAAACTACTCTGCCTAGAAATTGAGTAAAAATAGATCATAGAGGAAAGGAAAAGGGATGACAGAGAAAGACAAGAACAGTCTCACTGAAAGAGTATGGTGCTGTTTGCACAAACTCACTTGTTATTTCTACCATTTATATTTTAAATCAATAGAGAAACTGACATGAGTGATATAAAAATTAATGTATTAACTTTAAGAAGGGTAAAACTGAATTGGAGAATGCGACTTGAATGTGGAACCAAATGCGACTTTCTATTTTTTCCATCCTGTATTGAACCGATCCACAAACAAGCCATGTTACAAAATATGGGACTGGATGGATATAGGTAGAGGAAATCTTGAATTTCTCCAGCTTTTATGGCTGTTTACAGAAAGTGATAGTCATCAAGAACTCCAGGTACTGACTTGGAGTTGACTGACAGAAGAAGAAGTGGATGTGCTGGGAAAGTGAAGAGAGAATGTGTCTCTTGCCAAATTCACAAATAATGTTGGTGTGGTGGTAATTGTCAATAGCTGGATTCTGCTTTGAAATAGAGACCCTAAAGCAAAAATTGGTATTTCATTCCAGATGTTATGAGAAAATAACCAGACACCAGGAGTTATTGGCTCTGCTCTTCACTAAACTAGCAAGAGAGAAGGGTATGATTTTCAATGACATCAAGACTGTATTTTTCATCATTAAGGAGAAGCATAACACTGAGTCATATACATAAATGCCACAAAAATAGATGAGATGCTAAGTAGACTGAACTGTCTTTTTGGAGAATAGCTGGAGTTGGTAGGTATCTGTCCAACCTTAAGGTAAAAGAAAGGGGGGGTGTTTCAACATACTTTCCTCAAAACTGTGTTTACAGCTGTATCTAGCAGTCATTCTGAGGAAATCTAGACTGTGTTACTAATACAGAAAACTGAAAACATAATGTTTGGTCAATTGTTACTTTGAACAATTTTCACCTTGGTGGGCATCAGTAGTAGAAAATGTAGGCATGGTAAGCACTTTCTGAGAGGTACTGAAATCATGGCAATGGTGTCTTGCTCATGTGTTTCAGAACTCAGGACTGTTGATCTAAAAAGATGACATACAGCAAGGACACTTAGAAAATAGGATAATGAGGTTTTTCAACAAATGGGAACAAATTATCAAAGTGTGGGTAGTAAAGTCACTATAAACTCAGTTTGATTCCACTTACTTGTTTGGTTGGGTTATCAGCCAATCTGTTTATTTTTTATCTTCCTCCTGAGTATCTTCCCTATCTGATAGTTATAGAGTTGAGTGAGATTTTGAGATTATCCTTCATACAATTTCTGTTAAAGAGGAAGACAGTGGTGCCTAAGACTGCTGGAACCCTGGTGGAACCAGTGTTCATGTGGCAGCAGCAGGAGACAGCAAATGAATGAGTTTCATTCATTCCTACTGGTGTGCAAATGCAGGCTATGCAGAGAACAATAAGTGTCTTTAACAATAAATTATCTAAGGGGCTCTCATGACTCATTTTTTCTTAAGGAGGGAATTATATGTTTATGGAAATCATCGGGTAGGGCCTACTCAGTCGTGTGTGTGAGTGTGTGTGAATCTGTGAAGTCTTCCTTTCTCAGATGATTGCCATTAGACAGCACAGACAAGAAAACTGATCTGATTAATTCCATCATAGATTAGAAGATCCTCCCATTTTCTCCTAGAAAATCAAAGAAAGAAAAAAGAAGGGAATTCCTTACTTTCTACATTCTAGAACCAATTATCATACTCTCTTTCATATCATCCCTGTCAATGTAGTAAAACTATAATTAAACTCACTGTAAATGTCTTACTAAATTTTTAGGTTTGAGAAGATATTATTTCACATAAAATAGCAATGCCCTTCCCTCCTTTCATTCTCAAGTAAAATATAAACACTTAAGTTTCCATGAAAAATGACAAACATCTCTTAGAAGACCTAAGGCGAGCATGTTAATAAGTCCACTGTATAGTCAATGTTATTTTGACTACTACACATTGATTTATTTAGAAGTTCACCTCTTTCATTATGTATAGATGGAAATAGAAACAGAAAAGAAAATAATAAGGAAAATATATTTTTCAAGAGCAGTGGCATATTAAGGATGATACCAAGGACTACGAAGCAAAATTAACTCCTCTCTTTTGAATTTACTGAAGGAAACAAAAAGTGTTTTCACAGTTGTTAGGAGCTCTCATTGACAAGGAGTCCAGCTGAATAAAGTAAAAGAAAAAGGGGCTGGTAATATGAGTTGACATCAAATGTTTTATGGAATGCCAAACTTGAGTAGATATCTTAACAAATGAAAGTGTAGAAAGTAAAATAAAATAGAAAGCTACAGTGTTCCTTCTTTGGGGCTTGAATAGAAATTACGTTTTAGAGTTTACATAAAAGGTTTAACAAAATGAAAGTCAGCTTGCCTTAAAAACTAGGTTAAAACAAAAATTTGAATATGATGAATATTTTTTCTCTTAACAGGGAAGTTGCAGGAGTCAGTAACACTGATAATTAGTTATGACATAAAAAATAGTATTTATAAAATGGATAACATTTCTAGAAATTTTGATTTACCATTTGCTACAGTACTATATAAATACATAATATTTTATCATAAAATATAAGCTTAGAGTCATCAGGATAAGAATAAAACAGAAAACAAGAAGATTTTTGAAGAAGAACTTTTTAATAACTTAGCTAAGCATTCAAATATTCTACTTCAATTTGCAAAGATCTTTCTACAAGGAGGAGATATTTTCCCAAATTATTTTTGTCTTGGTCTATTAACTTTCATACAATTAGCAAGGTTGTTTATATAGTGGGAATGAACTTTATAAAATACTACAGCAGATAGAAGATAAAGAAAAATACATACATGTATAGCCAGGTAGATAGATTTTATTCTATTTACTTATGTATTTATTTTTTAATCTATACTAACCAATGCACACTTCTGATGTTTGAGTTTGCATGTAGCGTGACCCAGGGAAAAACTGCTCTGACAATATGAACTTCAATTACTCTAGTTCTTGTTACAGTTGTTTCTCACCATAAATTAAACCATCTCTCACACTTGTCTCAGCCCTCTGAAGACCTCTTTATTCTTGAGCACTGAAAGCCATTTTTTATGGCACAGGGCCAGACCCAAAAATCAACGTTTACTTAGTGAGGACCAGCAGAACCTCAGCAGACTTTCTTGTTTGTTTCCTGCAGTCAATCTTCTTGTTTACTACACATTCTAATTTACATGTATAATTTATGGTGACCTTTATTACAGTAAATTGTCACCACAGGATTATCATATTGAAATATGAAATTGATTATTCCAAAATTTTCTTCCCCAAGAGTAACATTAATTGAAAAAAGGGATGCTTTCAAACAGAACCTCTATGCATTGTTACCTTTATTTATTCCTTTACTTAGCAAATACATGGTGAATACCTGTTTTCTTATAGAAATAAAGCCAAATATTGGCAATATAAACAGTGGCCAAGTTGGAAAGGTAGATAAACATTTTAGAGTTTATAACTTAATGATAGACTGAGATTATTAAATATTCATTTATTCAGTGATACTGAATTTGGAAAGTAGTAAAATCTGGTGCAGGAATTTAAATGTCAGATTTAAGACCAGAAAGATGAGTAGAACTTAGGAAAAAGCACATGTGTAGTAAATGAGTGACCTTTATTTATTTTGACAACAGATATTTATTAATATGCTATGTGTCAAACTTAGCCTGTGCAAACACAGCGGGGGACCAAATGTACCAGATCCTGTTCTCATGGATTTGCATTGTTTGGGGAGAAAAACAAAATCAATTAAAAACTATAAATTATTTTAGTTGGCAATAGTGATATGAAGAACTAAAACTGGGTTGTATTGTACATTGTATTCGTCTTCCCAGCATTTACTTGCTCTGATTTTTACTCTTTCCCCGTGTAGCACAGTTATTTCTGAGATCACAGATTTTGCATTACCCTTACCTCAGATATTAATTCAGCAGTGGTAACGTAACACAACCCTAGCCAATGAAACCTGAGGGGTAGATTCTTCTAAATCTTTAGGGGGAAGAAAAGACTCACTGTTAAAAGAAAGGAGTAAAATGGCCTCTTTCTTTTATGGTTGTGATGCTTGATTCTGGGGCTGCCATATCCCAATGTAGTTGAGAGAAATCTCAGAAACAGTAACAAGTTTCCTATTGAACCATGCTGATTTTAATCTGCCCTCTGGATATTCTAGATGTATATCAGAAATCACACATGAATAAATCAATATAACTCAAAATTTCAATCACTCATGGAAAACACTGTAAACATATCATAGAAATATTTGCTATATGGCGGAGGTGATGTAGAAAAGAGGGATAGAGTGAATTTTACTTTATACTGTTTGGTAAGGCTCTGTCTTTCTGAAGAGGTGATATCTGAGACTAGATAAGCATCATGCAAATGAGATTTGCCCTGAGCAGACCCTTTGAGGAAGCAGAAAGAACAACTCAACAGTCACAAAGTTTAACCCAGAATAAGGAGATGTAAGACTAGAATGAGTGATTCCAGTGATACAGAGCTTTGGAGTCACGAAGAGAGTTTTAGGATTTATGTCAAAAGCCATTAAAGAATTTAAATTTTGGGTACATGGGTATGACAAATTATCTTTTTTTCTTCCATGTAACATTACATCTTATGTTTTTAACTGCTGTGAAAATATAGTGTTTAATTTACAATGACCACATTCATTTTATAATTGAACTAATATTCTTAAAGCATGTGAATTTGTATTATTTCAAAAGTATATTATGAAGAGATTTATAGAATATAAAGACATTCAGTTAGCAAAAATCAGTTAACAAGAAGAAAAGAACTAAGAAATTAGATTTTTAATGAAAAATAAATGAAGTCTGGAAAATTTTATATTATATAAAATTAAATATTACAGATATCAAAACAAATTAAAACATGTTATCATGCCAAGAAAGGTTTTAAAGTTCAGAATGATCCCTTTTTGGAATAGCATTGTACTAACAAAGAAAACTGAAATAATTTAGAAGGTATGACTTGAAGGAGTAATAATTTTTAATTTACTTATGGATGAATTTGCTGGACACATTTAAAATGAGAGGTTATGTATCATAATATATCTCCTTATAAATATCCCTGCTAAATATTCACTATGGAAACCTATTGTTTAATTTACACAGATATTTTTAATCCCCCTGTGCAATGCTCTATGTAAAAAATTTGAAGAAAAGTACAAAAAGTAAACAAGATTTTCTCTCTACCAAATATATAATACCATCTCAGACAGGAGGAAGAACTATATATGTAATATATAATAATATAAAATAGAAGTAGACACAATTTTGAAACAGGTATACAAAGAATTAGAGTCCACTTTTGCAAGATAACCAAAAAGGCATCATGTCAGGCATTTATGAAGTATTTCCGTATATAAACCAGGTATTTACAGGTGGGGCAGAAGGTTTCTGAATAATTTAGAATTAAATAATTGATGTTTTAGTGATTATAATATCATGACTACAGGATCACTCACATCTGATTCACCCACTTCTAATATTAGAGAACAATTCATATTTATTTTGTCCAAAGAGATTTATAATTGTCTATATATTCCCTGATGTACTGTATATACGGATGTTAAATATCAGATATATAGTTCCTGATGTCAAGAATTAGCAAAATGATGAATGTCCAGAGATGAAAAAGAATAGTTTGATGATTTTTTTATATCCAAATGGGCCAATTTATTATAGCAAAAAAAAAGGAAAGAAGAAATATTCTTACAATGGCACAGTAGGGAGGAAGAAATGCCACAGCCATACTGCAAAGGGAAAAGGTTTGTATAAAGAAACATCTGCATAATCACAGGCAGACAAGAAAGCTGCCTGATGATTTTTAATGGACTTTTCCTTCCAATATCTTCCACAAACCTTTAGACTCTGGAAAAATAATACTCATCATCAGAGGGAATATGGGGGAGAGGGAACAAATAGAGGGGGGCTGAGGGTAACAATGTGACAGCAAAGGAGATGCTTTTTCTGGTTTGAACAGTCTCAATAGTTGGCTGTGATGTTTACATAATAACTGAACTTTCTAGAAAATTCAGCAAATAATGAATGAAAAAGGGGTTATCCCTTTTAACATTTCAAGAGAAAAAAAAAGGCAATAGCAATGTTGTACATTAAAGAAAGGTTAAGGAAATCAGCCTCAGTTATTTGAAGTTATTTGTCCTGATAAATAATTGGACTCCCACTTGTAGTCCTTGTTTGGCTGCTTATTTGATTGTGAAAAGGATTTTCTGAGATGTAGAAAGTAGAATTTTCACAAAAGACAGCTCTTGTGATTTAATTGACTCTCACAGGGAGTGTGTTTCAGCTTAGGAGGCCAAAGTGCATTTTCTGTTGGACTCAACTCTAAAGCTGGGGAATTCTTTCAGTCTACTCTCAGCTGCTAGGCTAGTTGGTTGAAGTTTACTGCCAGAGAGTTGAAAGTCATGAGTCTGATACTTGCACACAGAGAAAACTGAAACAAAGGCAGAGATTACAGCCTTATCCCTGCCAGTGCCAGCTGAATTTCAAACATGAGGTTATTCTCATAAGAAGAATGAGGCTATCCAAACTACTGATTGGTCCCTCAATGAACAGCATATAAACCTTTTTCTCCATCAAATAATTTCTGCAAAAAATTAAAGGCATAACAATCTCAATGAAAATGGTGCTTGACCTTTAATAGTGTTTTCTGCAAAAAAAAAAAAAAAAAAAAAAGCTACCAATACAAACCAGACTTGAAAAATTGAAAAATTGCTATCCAAATTTTTAACTAGAATGATTCTTTCTTTTAAAAATGTGTTTTTTAATTAGGTGGGCTAGATTTTTTTTTTTTGAGGGGAACAATAAGTAAAACTTTTCTGGTTTAAGACATTACAGTTAGGATGCTCAAAAAAAAGAATCAATCAACAGTTTTAGAAGAATGACTTAAAATGATCTCCATATGTGGTAAATTTTAGAAATGTGTGACTTATTTATGTCATAAACTTAAAATGCATTTATCCATTACCATCTTTGAAACTATTTCACTTAATTAAATCAGTATTTTGCCGGTTTTACATGAGGAATTTTGTTTTTACCTCTTACTGTACATTTTTTAATGTACATATAAAGGGAACCTTATAGTAGCTGAGATTTGTCTTGAGTTAACTCTCTGCCCTCCTATTAATTTTTTCTCTCAAGTATCTTTGAAACCTGACATTTTGTCTCCACAGATACAGTCCATATTTGGGGGTAGTCTCCAATAAGCCTTCATCTGAACTTCACAATGTCCTCTTGTTGGTCTGCTTGCTTCCAAAATCACTTATCATTCTAGAATGAGCTTTCAAAATAAACAAGTTTCACCATATCATTTTCTAGTTCTCTATGTGCTCTAGGATAAACCCAATATTCTCCATGATTTGTGCCCTGTTAAACAAGTTGATCTCTATGACCCAGTTATTTTGAATTAGTTGCTGTTTCCCAAATGTGCACAGTAGTTAACAGTTGCACTTATTAACACACTATCTGAAATCTCTACTTGTCTCTAACAGACACCCTCATCCCCATCTTCCTTGCAAAACAAACACAAGACAAACAGAAAGTGAATTTTGCCTTTTTCCACATAGCACTCACATGTTTGGTTGCATGGGGGTGGGGGGGTACTAGGGAGACTTTATAGTTCCCGGAGATGAATTAGTCTAAGCCCCATCATATTGCTTATCTCTTATTCTCTTCTCTCTTCTTGCCAGGGATCTCTGTTAGCATAAGCATGTGAACCTCTGAATCACTGTGACTGTCTTCATGAGCCTGCCAGTAAAAGTTTCCTCACTCTTAATAAGGCAAAGAATCAAGACAAGACCTGCCCTTTGTTCCTACTTTGGTTGATGTTCTGGGAGCATGTAATTTTTAAAATACCTTTAGGGGAAGTGCTCAAGGACAAAAGCCAACTCTGTGAATAGAAGAAAATAAAGAGAAAAGAAGCTTGGTTCATTGATGATACCCTCAAGTCACTGAATTAATTCTGAACTAACTCCACCTCCAATCTTGTTATGGCAATTACAACTTGCACATTATTTTAATCACTTTTAGTTGATCTTCATTCAGTTCTTTGCAGCCAAAGCATCATAACTGATAAAAATTCCTATAGTTCCTAAGAGGTATCTTTCCTAATACATCTTTATTTCCTCTATGAAGATTCTCTAAATTTTGAATTCTTTAGAATTCACCTTCCTTTTGTGCCATTAAAGTTTATACACATAATTATCAGATAGCACTGCAAAACGTTGCTGATAAACCCAAGAAATCTTTTTTGTGTGCTTGGCACATATTATTCTTTCGCCACTGAATATGAACAAAGCATGAGAAAATGAATAACAATTTCAATTAATCAATTTATCCAGGATCCTGTAGTTTCAGGATTGACCTTCATATAAATGACAAGCAAATTATTCTTGTTGATGAAGACAAATGATGGTTCTTTGTGAATAAAGATATTATTTAATCAAAACACCAATGCACCAAAGTCATCTAAAAATCACATTTTAAAGGTAGGTACTTATCTATAATACAGCCAAAAATGAAATATTATAACATCTTATATTGGCAAATAAGAAAAAGCCTTTGCCTTCATATACATTAATGGGTTTTGTTCTTCACAATAGGGAGAGAGCGATGTTTTTATGTATATCGTCCAGGTAAGAGTCCCTTAATTATAGAGAAAATAATTTAGTAACACAAAGGACTGAACTCACTAGAGTCTCCTTTCCAAAGCACCTTAGTTTTACATTTGCAGGTGAGTGGTCTTAATGTCCAGTACTGGGAGTTATAAAGGACAGTGTGACTTAATATGCATTGTACTTCAGAATAACCTGAGGAGTTATTTAGAGGCAGAGACATAGGCTCCAGCCCAGCCATATTCAATCACTATCTCAGGTGGCTAGAACCTGGGCATGTACACAATTGTCAGAGACAGTGGATAAGGAGCAGACCCATCACCTGAAATTCTTATTTAAAATTCTAGTTCTTTTACCCCATCTTAGACCCTTTAATCTTACACAAGGTTTGGCTGAAAGTTGTGGAAACTGTGCTTTAAAAAATTTATCAGATGATAGAAAAGTTTTAGAACATGACTCTGTGACTTCATTCTTTTTTTTTCCAAAGTGCTACCAGTTTTTTCAGCTGCTATCAATTACACTAATATTTATTTTCCCAGCAATGACTGCTGTTAGAGTAAGATGGATGCCTGTCACTTTTACTTTCTGTCCATCAAGAGAGGCCCCTTTCAAAAGGAGGTCTTATCTGCCATAATAGTTAAGCAACCATGATAAATACAAATGTTCTGTGAGAGATTAAACTCACCAATCTGCATTGAAATATACAGGACAAGATTGCTCTTGTACAGTCTGGTTTCTATTTGACAGACTCTGTTTTGGCAGTGGTGGTCTCTGTATCTCCACACATGAGCACCAACTACATTGTGAGAATTTGTAGAATTTAACTTTCCTTACTTAGCAACAAGAGAAAATTTCTTCACCATGTTGTGCCTAAATATTTTCTGGTATCATAGCAAGTACTCAACTGTATTATTTTTTTTTGTAATTGCAAATAAAAATTATAGAGACTTAGCAACTCAAAGCAACACAATACATATTTGCTCACAGTTTCTATGGGTGAAGAGACCATCATATCTTAATGTGTTCTCTGCTTAGAGCCTCATGAAGGTGGGATCAAGATGTTAGCCAGGAACCACTGTCAGAAATAAAGGCTGCCCTCAGTTCTTCCTGCCACATACACATCTTCACAACATGGCAGTTTGCTTCTTCAACACCAACACACGTCTTTATGATCTCTAGACCTATTTTTAATGGCACACTAATTTGTTCATGCCTACCGAAGTAACCTCACTTTTGATTAACTTAAACTTATTAGGGACTTTGATTACATCTGCAAAAATCCCTTCATCTTCACCATAAAATTAAATCTAATTACAGAAGTTAAATCCATCATATTGAAGGCATTGAAGGGCTGGGGTTATACAGAGCATGTATACAGAAGACAGGAATCTTGGAGGCCATCTTAGAATCATGTCTAAAATAATAAATATTTTTTTCATTTTTGAATATATTTTTTGCATTGGCTATTTATTTTTACTAAATACATGAAAATATGAAAAACCAAAGATAAAAGAAATACAGCTACCAGAACCGGATTTCAGTCTCCCTAAACATTTATTGGTAGTTAAATTTTAGAACGATTTTTATATACATTTTCAGAGTATTCTATGAATTTATATGCTAAAACATCAATTTTAACATTACTTTCTTTATTTTTAACTTATCAATATCCAAGATCTATCACTAGCAGCACATTCATACCTACCATATATATGTGTAGGTATGTATATATTTACGTATATATTTGTAATATTACACAGCAAAAATGTATTATAAATTATTTAGCAAGTGCTGTGTTGACAGAAATATAATCATTTACTTATTGTTGTTGTAAATATTTTGGCTATTTATGTCATTATGCATGTATTCATATATTATGGGATAAATTCCCAGAACTAGAATTCAAATAATATGTCCTCTTAGTGTTCTGATAAACATTGCCAGCTTTTTTCAAAGTTGTCATATCAAGTTATACTCACAGATTCCTTACATTTTTGCAAAGATTGCATTAAAGTTTTTAGCTTTCCCAATATACGTGAACAATGACATTTCATTATTGCTATAATTTGTGTTTTCTTAATTAAGAGCATGGTTGGGTATAATTTGACACATGTAAAAGCCACTGCACTTCTTTTTTGATAAATTACCTACTTAAATTTTGTACTTATTTTTATCCTATGGCATTTGTCCTTTGGAACATAAGTGGAAAACTCGATGAAGAAGGGTTACCCCGGTAAAGCAGCAAAAAGTATACTCTTCTGATATATTCAAAGTGCGATGAATCATGAGAATTTGCATCTTTAGGAAATTCTAAGATTGGGACTTCCAGCCCAGAGGTTGCCTGTTCTTTTCTTCCTCCTCCTTCTTCACTGCCTTCTGCTTCACTCAAACACAGGTAATCACCTTGGGTCATGATGTACCCAAAGTATTATGAGTAGGCAGTTTTTAAAATGCTCACAGTGAAATACAAAGGCACAGGCTCAGAAGATAGGCATGTGAAATCCACATGTGATGTTTCTAGGTATGGATCTTTCTGTAAATCATTTAAACTAGCTGAAGCTTGTGGTTGTGAGGTATAAACGATATAAAACATGTGTGAATGAAATAAGTAAATCAAGGTTTTAACTAAAATAAGTAGCTTTACGTTTTACTAGCGATTTACTACAGGCCAGCAAGTTCTGAAAATTCTAATTCAGATTAATCTACAAGTGAAACAAATGAGGTAACGCAAATGTCAGTATCTACACAGAGGTAAACTATAAGCCATGCTGTAGAATGATGCTTTGAGAATTTGATGACCATGATGCTATTAAAATGCAAGGTTTTGAAGAATTTTTTCAAAAGCTAGTCAGAAGTTCAAACAATCTCATCAATCTGCATTTCAAAATCCTTATTCTGAAAGGTTTCAAAAACACTAAATAATTTATAAATGTATAAAGAAAAATAATGTTCTGGTCCAGTCTTTACATCCAGGGACCCTTGAATTCTACCTACAGGTTCAGTCCCAATTCAGGCTATTCCAAACTGGAAAAACAAATGAAGACAGACTCATATGTCAGTATCTAGGCAGGCTTTCTGCTAATCCCTTAAACTGAAGTGAGGAAATATCTGTAGGATTATTTTATGGAGCAGACATGGGGTACAAAGATCTAGTGAAAGATTAATCTTACCTAACTCTGGGTGAGTTTTCTCAACGAAATCAATGTAGTACTTTCCCTTGTACCTTTCCTATACCTTCCCTATAACTGACACTTAGTTCTTTAAGTCCAGGAAGTGAGAGGTTGCCTCACCCCTTACTAAAAGTTAGCTTGGAGGGAGAGTAAATGTTCTATACATCTTGCTTAGGAGTTAGAACAGAGTATAGAATATTCACACATACCTTATTTAAAACACATTCAGGGAGTAAACAGACTTTAAGATTTCCACAGGGTGTGTAACTTGGCAAAGACTGCTTCCATTCTGTTTCTCTTAACAATATGACTCTAAACTGGAAAGGACCTATGTGCTTGCCTAAAAAGCATATCTTGTTGTCAAAAGGTTGAGAATAGAGGAAAGCTGAGGAGAATCTGTTTCTGAATATAGTGAGGAATATCCTAGCTGAAAATGGCCTCTTTAAAGGCAGAAGTTGAGATTATCTTTCCCATATCTGTACTTTGAATACATGCACAAATGAGGAACTACATCAACTTCAACAGAATTTCTGAAGCCTTCTGTCAGGAAGAAAAGAACCAATAAAGGGCCTCTCCTGGTGGCGCAGCATTTGAGTGCTGGGCTGTGAAGCTGCCTGCAGCCTCTGCAGTGCCGGTTCGATCCCCGGCCACCGGCGAGGGTCTCACAAGGTGCGCAGACCTCTTCTGCCATGCCCGCTGCTCCCCTCAGCAGTGTATTTCGTCAGTCTGCCTGTTCTGCTCCCTGCTGTGGCTCTGGTGAATTCTCTCACCCTCCCACACTTTTACTGTACCCAGTGCTTGTATAATTATCTCAAAGATGTTTAGTAGAAATGGCCTTAAAATGTAAGACATTTTTGCCCCTCAACTTTGTATTTAAGATGTGGTAACCACATTCCTGCCTTGTGTCCTTATACTTGAATTCTGATATGATTTCATGCCTGCTATGCTAGTTTTTTCAAATATAGGTTCTGGTCTTTGACCATTGTCTTCCAACATATTACATTAAGTTGGAAACATAAGTGCATTAATTGATTATTTTTGTATATTTAGCAATGTGTTTTACTTGTCTTCACCTAAATTTCCTCATCTATAAAATAATAATACCAACTTCATTGGTTTTTATTAATATCAGAATGGCTTACACACAATAAAAGAAATGATTACTATAGTTCTATTCTGTTAGTCATGGAAGTATACTGTCTGAGCTTCTGTAACAGCTTGCTAAAACCTCCTATCACCTGGGTTGTCTTTGTCACCCTTATCCTACCCTCTAAAAGCCCACCTGCCATTGAGGTGTGGGTTTCTCTGTCAAAACATGCTTTTTTGTTGTTGATTTTTTTGTACTTGCTGCTGTTGAATCCTGTCTTGACCACCTGCACCCACTATCAACTGCCAAGGAATCTATTAATATCCAGCACCTGGCTACTCCAAGTCTGGCTACCATACTGATTCATGGTTCTGTCACTGGTTTTACTCAGTGAACACATTATTACATTTAGCAAAAGCCAGTGCTAAATTTAACATATTCTAGTGAAATTTGACACGAATAGTTTATGTGAAATTTCTTCACTTCAATAACCATCTTATTTCTAGATAACTTATGAGCACACTTCAAATTTCCACAGTGCAAAATTGGAAATTTTTAAATTGCTGTGGCTTAGCATTGCAAAGAAA